TTCCAATAGGGAAATGCTTTTTGCTAGACAATGATTTCGCTAAACAGCTATTTCAGTGGAACGGATTATCATCGTCTAGCGAGGCACCACTGTATTATCTCGGTGTTACTGGATCTCCATTAAAAAAAGAAACATTCCCACAAATGTGGAGGGAAATGCAAATGTTAGAGGATCTACATAGCACCTGTTTTATGTGCCTTGTCCTTCAAAAGACCATGCAACAATCATTCTTCCATAGTCACACACATACTCAATCTTAGTAATGTAAGACTACTTCAGTAAAGTTTAGAAAATCTGAGAAAATAAAGAAAAAAGAAAAAGAATGTTCCAGAATACAAAAAGACAATTGAAACAAAAACATGAGTATCTTTCTTCTCTCTACAGTTCTGCGAGATGTCTTTCCCCTGCAAAAGGATATATACAGCAGTAACTCAGTTTACAAACGCCTCGGTTAACATAATTTTCAGTTTACAAACGGAAATCCATGGATAATAATGCCTCAGTTTACATTTTGTTTGTTTGTTTTGGTTTACAAAGAAAGTTTCCCCAGAATGCATTGTGCCTGGAGGTTTATAGTGCCGCCCCCGTTCCTGTGGCAATCTGCGTTCCGGTTTACAAATTTTTTGCTTTACATAATGTCCCGTAGAACGCATTAATTTCATAAACCGAGGTACTACTGTATATGTAAATGCTGTAAAGGATGTAACAAATTCAATTTTCATGCCATTGCTGTCTGAGAATCCTTGCTCATAATGTCTGGCTTGGGCTGTCCATTTGTGTCCTGTCATCATAACCACATTTCACCCCTAATTCAATCACCCTTGTGCACCAGGCCATGCTTTGTGGCTGTTCTTTGGGCATTGTGAACCTCCAGGGCCAGCCTAGGAATGACTGTTTTAACCTTTTGCAGCTGCTTTTCCAGCTGTTTTGGCTGTAAATTTGGGGAGAAGAGCATCCAATACAGTTATAAGATTCTATAAGAAAGTATCAAATGTCTGCGTTTCACAGCCTGCATCTTTCATCTAATTTTTAGGAATTCACACTTCTAATTTTTAGGACACCATATAAAAGAACTTGTAGATCATATGTTGGGCAAATTTTACTAAAGGCAAAGCAGGAGGTACTCTGTTTTTGTACCTGTAATTTTGAGGGCTTCCACCTTTTTAATTTTTTTAAATTTTTTTTATTTTTAAAGGATTATTCTCCTCTATATAGAAAGTTCAGTTTCACCTAGACACAGCTATTTTCTTTTATGTTACTTCTAAAGATATTTTGAACTGCACACAGTTTCTATATTGTATCTTACATAGTTCTTAGCATTTTCTGTTAAACAACAGGGTGGTAGACAGGGTGGAGAAAGTAGCATGCTTTTTAGCACACATAGTGAACATGCCAAAAATAGCGCAGTTTGAACCAGCATTCCCTCCTTGAGCCAGGTTTAAGGATCTTCATATGTAGTCACTGGGCTAATTACGACAATACAATTTTAAATTATTATCATTATTATAAGGTACATGGGATAGGGTGGAGAGTGTGTCTTATGGCATAAATAGTAAAACTACATTGAATCTGAACAAATTTTGATATTGTTCCAGAAAGTTGCAAACAAGTTTTACTGAATGTTGTTTTTGACTAGGTGTTTTGTATATGCCAGTAAGGGGATTGATTGATTTTTTGATTGATAGTTCTTAGTGGCTTTATTTTTAGATTGTATGTTAGAATTGCAGATTACAATTGTATCAATTTTACTACCCTTTCTATTTATTATCATTTCAGTTATCATTTTACCATTACTGAGTGTGTTTATTGATTTTATTATTTTGGGAGTAATCATATATAACTGCTGGATAGCTCAGTTGTTTAATAGTCTGGGTTGGGAGTTTGATTCCCCACTGTGACTCTTTGACAGGAGCTGAATTCAATGATCCATAGGATCCCTTCCAGCTGTGCAGTTCTAAGATAGCCGCGTGCGGTGTATGTCTCTTATGTAAATAGGAAACACATCCATGGCAGTTGTATGGGGGAAGAAAAGCAACCTGATCATCTGCATTGGTTTTAGAAAGGAACTTGTGCTAGGGAGATCTGTACACCTTATCTGATAGTAAAGTAGGTCAGGCTCTTCTTTGAAGTCTGTTCCAGTGATTTCTGCTTCTAAAACAGTAATCATTCAACCTCCTAGATGAGACTGTTACGAAAGAAGGTGATAGATTGCTTTGCTGAAAAGTATTGTTCAAATGTCCACCACTCAATTGCACATTTAAGTCATATTTTTGCTACAGAGAGGCTGATTTATCTCTTTATTGAGGCTTTGGCCTGAATGTATGGGGGCAAGAAGTGAGGCCAGGAGTGCTGTGGTGCCAAGCTGCACAGGTGTGTTGATACATCTGTTTTTTGCACCTGTGTCTCCCACAAGCTCTTGCTCCCACGGATCATCTCCAGGGTCTAAGTGACTGGCTCCTCCATAGCTGGCTCCACTGCTGCTCTTTAAAATGGCTGAGAATGAAAGCAAGAGGGGGGAAAAGCCGTAAGAGGGGGAGCCAATAACGTAGACATTAAGGAAGGAAAGGTTTTCATTCATGTGGATCAGTCCTATGTGTTCTCTCTTGATCAATGCATGTGACAGATGGCCTGAGAGAAAAGAGGACTTGTACTAGGCAGGAAGGAGTGAGAGCATGCAGGTAGGGTGGGACAAAGGTGGCTGCTGCAGAATTGCCCACACTGCTTTTAAGATTATGTGGGAGAGAAAGGCACTCTCTTCCTGCCTTCTTAACATTTCTAAGACAGATGAAAGGATCTGCCAAAGGATGTAATGACTCCTTAATAGGCCAGATGCCACAGTGCGTGCTTTTAGATTAATGTCCCTTAATTTCCTTGATGTCTTGGCCTTTCCCCCCCTCAACTCTCCTGGAGTCCAAGCAAACTGCAAGTGGGGTATGTTACTCCTCAGAAGTACTCCTTTTTATATGAACATCACAGACTCATCACATGAACTGCTGGATAGCTCGATGGTTTAGGTCTCAGGCTTAAGAGCCGCAGGCTGGGAGTTCGTTTTCATTGTGCTTCCTTGACAAGGGCTGGTCCTGATAATGCATAGGGACCCTTCCAGCTCTGCAGTTCTAAGGTTATTATAAAGTCTGTGATGCTCATGTAAAATCATTGTTTAATGCCTTCCTGGTGCAGAAGGTAAAACAAGCAGGAAATCAAGTATCATCCAAACTGCTTTCCTGACACTTTGACAAAATCTAAAATGCTGGCCATTCCTCTGAAATGCAAGAAGTGAAATCACATGGCAGTAGGAAGAGGAGATGTTGTAATGTTATAAATGTTTTGCTTTGTGCCTTGAATTTCCAAAATGCTCTCATTTCACAGGTATTGTCAATAGTGAATTAACTCTATTGCTATTTGTGTCTTTGTCAGCTTTGGTGATGAATCTGGGGAGAAGGAAACACCTAAAACAGTTGGTGTAATGCGAGAGCCTCCTGCTCAGACATTTGAAGCTGAAACAGAATCTCTTAATGGAAACACTCTGACTGAAGTAAGCTACTCAGGGGCACTTTTTTCCTGCTGATGTGGAACACATAACTTGTGCAGGAATACATAGGATAAAACAACTCTTTTTACATAACACATTTTAAATATGCTTTTTATTATTTTCTCCTTTGCATCACCAAGGGAGCTCATAACTGCTGTCTTATTTTAAAGAGTTGAGGCAAACAACATCTTACCCAGTGGAGGCCTCTAAGCAAATCTATGTCCGAGTTATTTAGTTTTACTTGGCATAATCCCCTTGAGCCTTTTTATAACAGATAGGCTGAATACATTCTGGGTTTTTGTTTGTTTTTGTAAAATGCAACCTTGTCAGGCAGGTTCTCAAAGCAAAATCAAAGTGTTCTGCTTATGTACCCCCCATATCATTTAAAATACTCTGTGGGCAGTTGACAAGTTAATTATGCAGGCTCCACATTCCACCCCTCCACGAACTGTGTACTCATTTTACTGACCTCAGAAGGATAGAAGGCTGAGTCAACCTTGAGGCAACTACCTGGGGGATTGTACCCCAGGTCGTAAGCACAGTTTTGCCTGCAGCACAGCAGTTTAACCACTGTACCGCAAGACTTATCTACTAATCAATCAAGGATGGACAGCGTCTCAGGGGAGGGATTAAACTGGACACACACACACACTATCCACTGGTAGAAACACCGTTCTGCTGGACTACCAAATTCGCTACTACACATTTGCTAAAAACTGCAATTTCAATTCCAATTTCCTTGGAAAACACGATGTGTAGAGGAGCATGTGTCTTGACTTCAGAAAGAACTTAAATTCCAAAGTCTTAATAATGAAATGATTTGTATGGTAATTTAGCTGAGTCCCAAAGGTTTTTAAACAGTTTTACAGAAGTATTCTTAATTTGAACAGGAACCCTTGCAGTGGAATCTTGTTTACACAGAGGCAGGTCCTCTGAGTTCAGTGAGACTTACTTTGCCTCAGGATGGATTTGATTTAAATCAAACTGGTTTAAATTATAATCTAAATCAAAACTAATTGAAATTATTTAAATCATGAATTAAATTTTTAAAATTGGATTTTTTATTATTCAAATCATTATTTAAATCAATTTGATTTTTTAAAATAATGATTTTTATCCTCCCTGCTTCATCTAGCAAATCTGCCTTACAGTTGCAATTTCAGATACACCAATTTCTGATAGCTCTACATGTCAATTGATGTAAATTAACAATTGTTTAAAAGGAAAATGAAATTTATTTTATTTTTGCATGCCAGTTGATGTAAATAAATCTTTACTTTTTAATGCAAAATAAAATTAATTACTAAATAATGTTAAATTTTATTCATAATGTAGAAATTTGTATGTTAGATATGCAAGTCAAAGATCCTTTTTACTCCCATGGTAGTATGAAAAATTTTTTTCCCCCCTTGGACATTTGGTACTGTTGAAGTTCCAGTAACTATTTATCTGAAGAATTCTCATTATCTTAAAAATATAGCAGCATTCTGTTCTGTTCAGTTTGTCATTTTTATTTAGAATCCGTAAAGCTTCCACTGCTATGTCAAATATGGTAACTGAAGCTGTACTTCTGTGCACATTTCCTCACATGCATGCAAGCTGTTATCTAAGACTTGGGTAAACCTTATAGTGATTCTGTAATGTCACGAAATATTACCTCCTTTTTTATAGATGAAAAAGTCTGGTTGGATGGTTTAGTGGTTTAGGTATCTGGTTGCAGAGCCAGAGGTTGGAAGTTTTATTTCCCACTGTGCCTCCTATTAGTAGATCCAACTTGTGTGGCCTTGGGCAAGTTACAAAGTCCGAGGGCACCCCCAGAAGAAGGAACTGGTAAACTACTTCTGTGTATTCTGTTCCTGGGAAACCCTGAAAAGGGTTGCTATAAGTCTGAATTGACTTGACTGCACGTAGTTATTATTATATTATAGATGGAGGGTTCAGGTACACAAAGTTTTGGCAAGTGAAAAGGTTTGCCAAAATCCCTCCACCTACAAACACAACCTACAAACAGTATTCAAACCCACCACAAAAATACAACAAATGTTACGTTCAGCAAAGGACAGAAGGGACCCCCTCACCACTGCAGGAGTATAACAGATACCTTGCAGTTGTGGCCAGGTATACATTGGAACCACAAAACGAAGCATCCACACCAGAATCAAAGAACATGAGAGACACTGCAGACTAAAACAACCGGAAAAATCAGCAGTAGCTGAACATGCCCTAAAACAAGCTGGACATGAAATTCTATTTCAAAATACTGAAGTACTGGACAACACCACCAATCACTATGTTAGATTGCGCAGGGAAGCAATTGAAATCCATAAACATCAGCGGAGTTTCAACAAAAAAGAAGAAAGTTTAAAACTGAATAAAGCTTGTCTCCCAGTACTGAAAAACAGCCTGCAAAAGGTCACGAACTCTATCCAGCCACAAGGACTGGTGATCACTACACACAAGAGACCAGCTAATGACACCCATCAAGCACAGTGACAGATAATCTCTCCTCCTTATCACAACAATAGACCCACAACAAAAACACACTGACCACCATTATCACCCATCTCCTGAATAGGACAAAAGCTGAACCCACAGATATAAATACTCAACTCTCCAACTAACTGCACCAGAACACAGCGTGCTACTCCTGTCCTCTGAAGATGCCGGCCACAGAGACTGGTGAAACATTAGGAAGAACAACCTTCAGAACACGGCCAAAGAAAAACCCACAACAACCATCCCACTACCTTAATTTGGTCTTACCCAACATATAGTGACATCAAAGAATTGGGATGCTTGTGGGTGGAACAAACTTGGGAAGAACTTTTAGTTTTTGTTAGCAAGTATACAATGGGAAATAACTAAAGTAACTGAACTAGTTTTGCTACCGTTACCCTAATTTCAATGAATCTACAAAAGAACTGCGTAGGCCCCACTGAAATTAATGGAAACTGCACAAATAGCTGTGTTTGGAGGATTACATTCATATATCTAAACATCTGTTTGACAGGTGTAAGGCATATTTTAAAAATAATGGAAATTTCTATACATCTGGAAGTTTATCTTTATTTAGTCTGTTACAGATAATGTATATTTTGGCTAAATGTTCACAAGTTAATTAGTGTTTTTGAAAGACAATTATTATTTTTTTTGAAAGCCTCTGTCACTGTGAATAATCATGTTATTTTAAAAGCTATAGTTCCTTGTACAGTAAGTACAATAACATCCATAGGGATGCTTAATGGTTGACTTCCTGCTTGTGACTCTCTTTCACTAGGATACTGACCCAGAGGAAGCTCACTGTGACAAAGAAGAGAGACATTTTATTTTTCCTTCAGAAGTGAAGACAGCTGATGTAGTCCATCACAAATGTTCAAGACAGTCACCAGATCTAAATGAGAATTCTCCGGAGGAAAAAGGCAGTGCCTCTGAAACTGATGGGGAAGGTAAATTGTTTCTTTTCGCCTGGAGAGGAGTGGCTGGTGCTTGGGGGAAGGGGGGTTTGTGTCCTTCCAGCAAGCAGAATGCAGTCCCAGCACCACTTTTTCCACTTCCTAACTGTACGCGCCCTGGGTCAAAGCCCCAACTGCTCTGCCTTAGTTACAGTTGTGTTCAGTGCTCCCTTCTCTACTCCCTGCCAGCAAGGTAAATAGGTTCCAGTGGGGTTTTGTAGCTGTACAGTTCTCAGAAGTGTTCACAACCCCTTGCGGGGAGTGCTTCTAGGTTTGTATAACTTACCCAAGGCTACACAGGCTTGCTGTTTTCCCAGAAGGCACAGTGGGGAATTTTAACTACCCACTGAAACTACAGATCTGACCTAATTAAGGCTGGGCTCTCTGAGGGGCTTTTGTTGTGGAGCCATGGCAGTTAAAATGGTATCAGATTGACATAACTGTAGTGTAGATACACCTTTACTAATACTGGTGTTCTAACATTCTGGTGTTTTCTGTTTCACTGCTTGCCTCGTTATGATCCTATGCACCCATACCAGCATTGATAAAAGCAAAAAATAGCCATGAATTCCATGACTGAGTGGGGATTACAATGGCAGTCTCCCAAATCCCAGCCACGACCGCACACTGGCTGTTTCTGCCCATATTCCAGCTTTTGTAATGTTGAGCTCTGTGTGTGTGTGTGTGTGTGTGTGTGTGTGTGTGTGTGTGTGTGTGTGTGTGTAAAAAATAGCAACAAAATTGTCAATACGATGTTTGGTGCAAGATAAATAATCAGACTTGATCAAGTGCTGCTAGAAGATTTTTCCTTATCTTTTGGTTCCATATAGCAGTAGCTCTGGCAGAATGATTTGTGATTGATGGGTTAATAGACATATTCCTAAATTAAAGCTTTCAGCGATACTTACGCCATGTGGTTTCAAGTGGTGTGATATTTTCTAAATTAAAGCCTTTCATGTACTGTATCATTATGAAAAGAGTGAGATTTTTATGTTATAGTACCTTTTATTTTATTTTTCATAATTTAATTATTGGAAGAGGAATTTAGACCGATTTTACTAACGCGAGTGGGTGCGCTCACTTTAAAAGCGGTGAGTGTAACACTAGCAAGTAGAACTGTGACCATATGGAAAACTAGATCACATACATTTATATTTATGTGCATTAATCATGTGGATCAGTTTGCTTCTAAACTACCACACCTAGATATTTGAGGATATTGCTATACTTGTCTATTGTTAATATCTACAACTTTGTATCACCTCTGTTTTTTCCATATGGTATTATTCCATATGGTCTTTATCATAAAGTTACCAGTGCATAATCCTTGTATGCCAATTTTGAGTTGTAACTCCAATGATTAGTATTAGAGATAAAATGCTTCCTCCTCATTTTCTTGCCTCCATTCCTTTCTTCCTTACCAAGATATATTAGGTCTAAGTGTTCCTCCTCTTCTGCCAGTTCTTTGGAAGATGGTGATGGATCTAATAATTACTCATTCAGGTGTTGCTCTTGGTGGCTGAAATCCAGTAGTGAGTTGCAAAGAGAGTAGGTCCATGGAAATAGTGGGGGTTTAGTGAGTCAACTCCTCCATAAGTTACGTTGTTTCAGTGGGACTACTCCACTTGTGACTTACTGCAAGAATTCAGCTACTGACTCTTTCACTATATGTTGCAATGTCACCTATTGCCAGTGGGTTTCAGTGGGACTACTCTACTTGTGACTTACTGCAAGAATTGAGCTACTGACTCTTTCACTGTATGTTGCAATGTCACCTATTGCCAGTGGGGCCTTCTCCTGAATTCCTACCTAGAGTGGCTATGATGGGGACAGCACCAAGAGAATAGTTTCTCTCAAAGATCTCACATCCCAAGTATGTATATATGGGAGACTATAGCTCTTCAAATGGCTATAACTGAAACCAGGTACTCCGGCAGCTAAATATGTAAATAAGCTGTATATATTCTCAGACTTACCCACTGACACTCAGAAGACCTAAGTTCAGATCTCCAATCAGGCATGAAGTTCTCTGGATGATATTGGGGTTGTCATCTTATGAGCCCATTGTTTGTTGCATTTATACCATGTCTTTCCTTCAACAGGCTCACAGTGATGGACATATGTCTCTTCTTTTGAGGCATATATAGCTCAGAGACCAAGAATCACTTGTGCTGCATGCAGCCCCTAGAAAACTGAATGCAGACCTCCCACACACACAACATCCCTGTGACTTCCCAGCACCATCCAACCTTTTTTTCCCTTAGTTATGAAAAGCATTTTGACTAAAACAAACACCCTTGCATCCTCATGTGGTTCAAATGGATTATTTAAAAAGGACTTGCGGGAGTCCTGAGCTGTAGTAGCCAAAACAGTAAAATTGCCTTGTACAGTATTTATAAGGTTGTGGGGTGGTGGTACTGGCAAGCCCCAAGGAAGCTAAGGGAGGGCTACACACAGCCTGCATGCTACCTGTTGCCACCTCTATTTTAGGATCTCCTTAATAAGAAGCAATGCCATTCTCCACACTAAACAGCTGGACATAAGTCTACCAGGATGTGACAGCTTCTGTTCTGTGCAGTGCGTAGTTATTCTGCAACTTATCATGTGTACAGCTGATAATATCCTGTGCCTTGGTTTAAAATGGAGGAAATAGTTACTTTCCTATTCTTTATGTCAAGCAAAGTTTGTGAAAGTTAATTATTTTGGACCACAACTCCCAGAATCCTATGGCCAAGATTGCAGCCATTCTGCCCTTGGTAATTGTTATGCAGCTAGTCTTTCCTGTACTGTAGTAAACTACCTCAGAAGTCTGCCTGTGAGGCAGTCTACATTTTGGAATTGCATACTGAAAAATGTATCTCCCTTTTAGCATATGTATTACTGTCTGGCAGATGCAATTTTCTTGACTTCTGTACAGTACTGTACTTTTTTCCTTTGCAGTTGAAGAAAACATCCCGGATAGGAACCTTCATGGAAAACTTTTTGTTGATCGAGTTTTCCATATCGGTGCAGACAGAATGTTTGAAATGCTTTTCACCAATTCATATTTCATGCAGAGATATCACAATGCCAGAAATATAACAGGTATAATTTTATTCCTTTTCATTTACACTGGAAGAACCTTGTATTTCCCCCTTCCTCCCACTTTGAAAAATACCAGTTTTTGCTCAAAGCAACACTACTACAAGCATACGATTTTGGCACATTAGATTCAGGGCATAGTTTATTTTAATTATTATTGGGCATATTAATCCTGATGCAGTAGACTAAGAAGAATTAAGAGAGATGGTACTTAGCTACTATAGCTACTTGGTCCTTTGTTTACAGGTGGATGGGCACATAAGCCAGGAATTTCCAGTTGATCATAGCTTCCAGTTATAACTAAACAAGGGCACTGTGATGCAAAACCAGGCAGGATTTATGTTATGCTCTGTGCTGCTGCATATACATGGGAAATATTGCTTGGACTTCCTTGTCTATACGGATTCATACCTTGTTCCAACATAATATCTGCAATTTCTATTTTATGTTAATATTGGCAAGAAACAGCAAGAAAAACTAGTGTGGATTACTCAGCGCCATTTTCTCTGTTTGAATTTCCAATCTTGCATGTTTTGTGACAGTGGATTCTTGATTTTGCCAACTAAGTGATGTGTCCCTGGAGCACAGCTCCTTTTATTCAAAGTCAATTATTTTATGTTATCATTCCTACTTCTGGCGTCCCATGTACTGCATTGCTGATTCATCTTCCAGGATGGCTTTTTTACCAGATATTTTTTCATCTTCTTTCAATCTCCTACTCTCCTGCCCTTTTGCAAATTTAATTCACACTGAAATCCATCCTCATCTGTCCAAGGTTATGTTCCGGACCTAATTTGATAGTTGAAGCTGAGATTTAATTGTTTGAATGCAGCCACTGCATGAACTGGTCCTGTCCACAGAACATGGTTTGTCTGGGGCTGATAGCTCAGGATTTGAAACCACAGTTTGAAGCTGGTTTATAAACCACACATTCTGATCAGTGCCTTAGCTAGGACCATTGCTCTGTCTCAAACAGTTGCTGCTTTTTAGAAATGAGAGTACACTAATGAGCTTATGGAACTGAATGCTGAGCAGATGGGACAAGAAGCCCTGGTTACCCTACTGAAAATCTGAAACTCAAACCATGTTGTGCTCTCTGAACTATAGTTAGCACAAACTTTGATTGTGTGTTATGGCTAAACCTAACCAAAGGAAAAACCTTCAGAAATAAATAAAAAAAAACAAAAACACACACACAAAAAACATGTTTAGGATGTCATGTGTGGAGGTTATTTTTCTTTTACTAGTTAACCATATATTAGTTAATTTTGATGTTCTGGAGGCTAAGAATTCTTCTTAGTGCATCTTCACAGTCTTCTAAATAAAATTTAAACCTCAGTGCTTTCTTCTAAAGCACTACATGTCCCAATAAAAACACAATCTGATATTCCTGCACCAGCAGAGTAGCCAGTTTCAAAAAGAAATACCGGTAATGTATATTTATCTGTATAGTTCATGAATTCTCTTTTTCTTAGGATAGAATTACAGACTATGATAAACTCTGGGATGCCCTTCAAAACAAACAACTTTTTCCCTTTGCGGCACTCATGTTTTGGCATAATTTTGAAGCTTAGTCTGCAGCTTCTGTTACTACACGCAACATAGTCAAAGCACAGCTAAGTCTTAAACATACACACAGAGAATGGAACATAGATTGCTAATCAATAATGAACATATAATGGGCTGGGAATGAATGTATTTAACCATTTTTTTGCATACACAGATAAAAACAGAGCACATAATCAAACTAGACATGATCTCTGGTCATTGGGGAACATTGTTTACTCAGTTTACTTTCAAATAATGTGTTTAATCTGCTAGACATGTCTCATGGCATATGTTGGATTCTAGATCTTGTGTCATCCCCTTGGAATACAGAAAGTGGGGGCAATCAGCAGAGGACCATGACATACACTATTGTATTTAACAATCCATTTTATGGAAAATTCACAACTGCAACAGAAAAACAGGTACAAAACTTTACTGGAGTATTTCACCTGGAGTATTTCAGCCATAATGCCATCTGTATTTCATTTTCCCCTCCTATGCATTTGTTGAACTTCAGAGAGAAGAGAAATCTTATTTATAAGTTCAAATCCAATTTGATATACTGTACTGAAAGCATTCCCTTTTTGTTACTTCATTTTTGACAAGGCATATATGAAAATACTAGTGAGCAATTAGTTTTCCTGAGGGGAGGCCTAGCAACTCAGTCTCCATGCCTTAAACAGACTATCGCCAAGTTCTGGTGCCCTTGATTCTACTCTGTCAAGCCTTCTATGGCCTGTACATTGGCAACTGAGACATCAACAGGTAGATTGAAATGGAACGCATAAGAGCCATGTACCTTTAGATGCTGGCTACTAGATCTTTTTTTGCTGTGGATGTCACTGGAAAGTAAGTACTGCATTAGCACCCTCCCATATGCATTCACATCTCCAGCAACTGGTGGGGGACAGGGGAAGTCTTTGAGAGAACCGGCGGTGGCAATTTCTGGAAACTAAACACATACCCTTAATGTGGACCCCAGCATGCTCCACACAATGAAATGGATCCCAAGGGAGTCCCTGGACATTCATGGGGGAATCAGAAAACAAACAAATGTATTGTAGCGTATTTAAGGCTAGCAGATTTTTTTTCACTATGAACTTCCATTTCCTGTGGAAGCAGAAATGTTAGTCTTAAAGAGGACACAATATTTTAAGAGTTGTGTGTTTTGTTTAGATTTTTTATGCCATCTGAAACAGATAAATGTTTTGGTCACATGAATATAAATCTTTACTGTATTTTTTTTGTACTAAATGTCTGCACTATTTTTTAAAATAGGTCCTGCTTAAACGGAGTTACAAAGATCCATCATATTGGGTACAAGCAGAGGTGGCAACACATGATGTACCGTACCATGAATACTTCTACACTGTCTATAGTTATTGTGTAGCCCCTGTGTCCAGTCAGAAGTGCAAACTGCGGTGAGACATTTCACTTTTATTAAATCAGGGAAACGGTAGGCAGTTAACCGCAACTGCTTAATATAGGCAAATAATTAGTTTTTTGGTACAAATTTCCCTCTGTTAAGCTTGAGTTTAATACAGTGGCAAAAGTGTCATTCTTACCACTGTTTATGTTTCATGGGTTGGAGGTGATTTATCTGCAGGCGAGCATTTCTGAGTTTTCTATATTTCCACCTGGACATTTAACACTTCCAGAAATACTGTAAGCAGTTTTTCCTGCCGCTTTTTCACTAGACTTTTTTTTTTAAATCAAGCTCTGGTTCGCTGTGTGATCTCTAAGTGCCCTCTCAAGTTTGTGGGTTGTGCACAGCAATCATTCAAAGTGCTTTTGCAGCATGGAGCTATTAAATGAATGCATCTCTTCTGTTGACTGTCAGCATGGTATGCAACATATCACCTTGTGACCATTCCTTTGGCTCATATACACAGCATGCTGCTTTGACTAATAAATGATCTTCAGCATAGGTAAAGGTAGCTCTTTCCTCTTAGTGTTACTTGTATTTTAGTTTTTTTTCCTTTTTTTTGTTTGTTACAGAATTTCCGCAGATGTGAAATATAAAAAGCAACCATGGGGACTTGTGAAGACTCTAATAGAAAAGAATACATGGAGTAGGATACAAGAAAATTTTAAGCAACTTGGTAAGTATTGTTTTCTTCCTTTCTAATGGATTGAAGTTATTTCTATAACTGTAATATTTGATTACCTTGTCATACATAGTGGAATTCATCAACACATTTCCCCAGAAATGAAGCTAAGATCTCTACTAGTCTTCACCAACTTTGAGAAACGGTTTAAAATACTGTTAAGTTATTAACTTCATTTGTCACACTTTTGCTGTGTCCCATGACTGATACTCAGGCAGGTGTGATTGCTTTTGTATACTTTTTGTATATGGACGGTAGAAGTGAAAAGTTACCATTGGAGGATGATATAAAATGGAACATTTACAAACAACAGTATTATTAAGTGTTCATTGCCTTTCATAGTATTTCCACAGCACCTCATTAAAACATTATAATTCCACTGTTAGCCATCTATTTGGTATAACCTCAGAAGTTTATTCAACATTCTGTATGGTATAGTTGAAAATTGTTTCTTGTGGATAACCCTTCTTGTTTGTTTCTTTGTGGGACTTAAAATGTACTCACTCATTAGTCTCAGGTATTTTTTGGTTGTAATCTGTTGATTATTTCAAAGTTACATTTATGTTAGTCAATATATATTGATTTTTTCCAGTCAGAGTAACCTTTTAAATATGGTAGGAAATCGCTAGATGAAATATGTATTCCAAAAGGTGACAGCTAGGTAAAACATAGAATTGTGTTCAATCACAGAATCAGAATTGCTAATGGAACAGTATTCAATAAGCAAAACAATAGAAGACCCAGGAAAACTAGCTGCCTTGAGGAAGAGGAGATGGACTTTACAGCGGAATATGGGAGAAATGCTTCCTAAATGCTCAGCACAATATCCCTCTCCCAACACTGATGCACCTTCCCGTGGTGATGTAGGTGAGTATGGCAAGCAAGAATTCTGTGTATGCACCTTAATATCAGTAGCTGGTAAACGGTAGCAGGAGAATAATACTTTGCAGACTTCCTATGGCCACTGGCGGCACAGGATGTTGACTAGACATATCTTTGGCATGATTCAGGACAGATCTTATGTTCTTATTTTTGTTTTCACCATTCTAGAGAATTAATGATGTTGGATCTATAAATCACGCAATACCTCTGCAGCTTATGTAGATTCCTGGCTAGTCCACATTTGTCAGATTTGAGATATCCTGAGTTACAGATAGATGCTGTATCTCCGGAAGAGGAATTATTCTCTTTTATATACAGAACTGTGTGTAGGAGTAGCAGAGGATTTTTTTTCTGCAAAGGAGAATGTCACATTGCAGTCTGTCAACTTCATTTCTGTATCATTTTCCTGTATGCAGTTTGCTCAACAGTGCAAAAGAAAATAATTATTCATATTGAAGAAAAGAAGTTTCATAACAAGTATATACTAAAGCAGTGGTTCCCAATATTAAGTTTACAGATGTTCTTGAACTACAAGTACCAGAAATCCTGGCCAGTACAGCTAGCGGTAAATGCTCCTGGGAGTTTTAGCCCTGGAATATCTGGGGACCCAAGGTTTTGGAACCACTGTAATGAATCATCAAAATGAAAATAATTAATAGTTTCATTATCTGCTAAAGAGAATAAAGTTGCCTTTGGCCTTGCTAATTACTACAACTATCAGCAGCCTTCTAAAGGAGGAAGGTATGACCACTTGTCAATCCTAGGTGTTGATAGGAAGAGGGTGAAATGTAAGAAAAACATTCTCCTCCACTGTTTTTGGAATAGTGCTATAGCGCTGAATACAGGGTTTGGGGAATGATCATGCAGCTATGTCTCTGGAGGTAATATTATGAATATTCTGCTCCTAATTATTTGAAATACCAGTAGCCAGTTTTAAAATACATGTTTCATTGTATTGTTTAAAAATTCAGTCCATGAATGGAGTGTGTTCCTTTGTTGTTAATTTTCATTTGCTTCAAATGAATGTACATTTGAGTTGATTCCAGATGTGGCATTTATTCTGCATTAACTTACCTCATTCACAGAATGTGAAGGGGAATCTAAATGTCATCTGTCACTCATAATCTTTTTGTATGTTCCCACTGCTTATTGCATCTTTTTTCCTTATTATATATAGGGAAAAGAGGGGGGATGGTACTTAATGCCTATGGGTGCTAAAGGCATTCCATCTGAAATCATGTTTATTCTGCAGTGTAGCGGATGCAAGGCCATTGTAAAACTTTTGTAATCTTTCAGGTGAGATGACATTGATCCAATGTCTTTATTTCTGAAGTTTGTAAAAGAAAACATTTGAGTTTTATAGTCTGAATAACTTTCACACATTGCTGGCTTTTTTGTATTTATGCACATGTGTGTGATTTTTCCTTCTGGGCCTATTCTACAAATATTATTCTGAAGTTATTAGACTTTTGTAGTTTAAGTAAAGTTTTCTCAAATTCAGGGATGTTTCATTTAATTGCAGTGATATATAAGCTGTTCTTGCTATACATTTGCCCTTTTGATATGTTATTCATAGCGTATTGATTGGGAATTACATATGGCCATGTACTGTTTCCTTTAGATGACTGAACATATGGTACAGTTCCATGTGGCAATAAAGAAAGCCTAGGCAAAGCAACTTTAATGAGACCAAACCAACAGCACATAGATTTGTTGCAGGAAAAACACTTTTGTATGTGTTGCAAATGGCTTGTATTGGTCAATCCCTGTCATTCTTTTACTAGTTTTAAATTGCTTCCTAGATATTTAATTGATCACCACTTAGCTACACTCTAGTTTGGCAGTGTATTTGCCCCAATTCCCACTACAATTATGATGCATACTTTTTGGCCAGGGCAGGGGCAAGAAGTCTTAAATGTCTGAAAATTTGTCATGGGTGATCCCAGCCAAGGAGTATGCATCATAGCTGCAGCATACGAAAACATGGCTGCAGCTGATTTTGGTAACTTTTACATTACTGCACTTCAGCCACTGTTTTAGAAGCTCAGGTAGTCCACCTAAGGGACATGGTAGTGGGCATCCAGAAGAAATGTACACATATCCTCAGTCTTCATCAGGTTGCTGATCCCAATTGGCAACAAGAGATTTTTCACTAAAATGTTTCCTGTACGGATGATGACTGTTGGTTCTATGGCCATGGGGAAGAAGAAAAAGGTCTTATGAAACTGTGGAATTTGGTGAAATGTTTTAATAGGATCAAGATGATACCAAATAGTTGGGAGTAAGCATTCAGTGATGGTGTTCTCCTGCATGTCAAGTGCATGCTTCATGCTTATTTTATGCTTATAACAGTTGTAGTCCTAGTACTAATGCAATGGGTATGATCTAATATATTACCAATCCTTATTTGTTAATATCTATGTATACTGTGAATTCACATATAAGCTGTAGTTTAGGAGCTTAGGGAAAATTGCAAGAGTGGAAAGGGATAATAACAATGTACTAGTAAGAAGGAGTGTAAATTTGCATCACACCAAGCCATGGCATAATATTTCATCTGGAGGTACCCTGACTCCACAAGGTACCTTGGTTTTCTATTGTGAAATTATGATCAGAGTTGCAATGGAACTTGGAATATTCCTTCTTTCTTTCTGTCTGACTTGCTGTATGTGGTCTCTAAACACATCACGATTCATGGTGCAATATCCCTTGGAATGAGAGTTTGCTTCTTTTATGTTACCCTCCTAGATAAAGCTCTTCTTCCTGTCATCTCTGTTATCTACACATTTACATAGTATCACTGTATGATATCATCAGCTGTAAGATGTGGCAAAATGTGCCCTGGAGCATCACTTTGCAAGTATGGCAGAGGAAGACCTATTCAGTAGAACAGCTTATCTGCACATGGGCTGGTGTTTGGGCAACAGCCACTGGAAAACCATGAGGATCCTATGGTACCCTTCCATATGTAGCAGATCTAGCAACAGTGTTGTGAGAATGATGCAAGGACTTATTCTTATACTAAAATGCTACAGAGTTCCTGATGGTGGTGGGATTTCAACGTCCTTCTAACCTGGAGCAGCTTTTATTGCAAGAAGAATAGCTGTCCAGAACAAATCAGACCCATGCATCATTCCCCTAAATTGCATGTGCACAGTAAGATCTCAATTAGGACATGATCCAGAGTGGTTCTGCTTTTGAAAAGGCAACAGCTTTCTTCAGCAAAGGTGCACAAGGAAGTAAGGTTAATCTCATTTTGGAAGACAGATGCTGTAGATTTATAGTTGCCTTTCTTCCCTAACAGGATCAAAAAAAGATGCTACAAATAAGACCATCATCATCATAGTGGTAATGAGTATCTTGTAAGTACTAACTTGATCCTTTTTTTACCTTGTTTTTCATATGGTATATGTAACTATTGGGGGAAATTAATTTACTGTATTTGGGTCAACTGTATAGGAAGACTAATGTTTCAAAATCGAGCTGTTTATAAAGTCATTGTCAGAATAAATGTTTCAAAATTGAGCTGTTTATAAAGTCATTGTCAGAATAATACCTAGCTGATCATTATCTTAATGTGCCAGAAAAAACATTCATAATGTAAGTGGGGATGTACAGGAAATCTCAAGAATGATGAGGATTAGATGATACTCAGAAGCCTATGCTACTTTAAACCACAAAAGGGTCACTGCTAATTACACGTGCAGAGATTCCCTGCCACTATTTGTTCTAGGACAGGGGTCAGGGAACTTTTTTACCTTTCCCCCCCCCCCCAAATATTTCTATACACCAACATTACCCCCTTGATTTGAAAGGAAGGATCTTGGTCACGCGTGGCCAGTCGAGTGCCGCCACCGAAGCCTCGCTGCCCGCACCCGGGCCACCTCCTCCTCCGGCGGGTGGCTCCCGGGCGGCCATCAAAGAGCACCAGGTGGCTCGCCCACCGGGGGTGCCCAACGCCATCTTCCATTCTGGCACCAGCACTGATGGCCGTGTTGGGCCTCGGCATCAGGGCTCCCACGGGCCTCACCGTTGAAGCACCGTGACAGCTGCTACACGGAGGGAGAGAGGCTCCGCCAGGCCCGGCCAGCTGGTGCCAAAGGAAGCTGTGCGGCTGGGTGAGCACCACTGTCGCCTGACGGGCTCCTTCGGGGCATGGGGCAGGGGCATCCTGGCGCTGGGAGGCTGAGCCTGGCCCAGGCTGCCGTCATGGCCGTGCCTGCCCCCCTCCACCGTGATCCACCTCTCCAGGCACTGGAAGGAGAGGTTCCTCCTGGCTGGGGGGCTTGGGC